ACACACACACACACACACACACACTTCTATATGTACATATTAATATTTCAGATCCATTTAAAAGCCTGAGAGCAGCTGCTGACCTGAGCTCAGTGATTCAGTGATGAACGTTAGTGAATCATGTTAACACACATGTTAAACACACACGTGCACACACACACCACTGAACACATCACACACCTGAAGTGTCTGCTCGTCTTGTTCTTATTGTTTCATAAAGCTGTGAAACTCTAATTCCCAAAGGAGACGGATGAAAGAATTGAAGAATAAATGTATAAAAGAACTTGGAGCTTGTTATAAATTAATATTGATCCGTTTGAATCAGCTGCTTTTAGCTGAGGCTTCCAGTTCACTGCTAGTTTTTAATTTCACGTTTCTCTCAGGATTCATCTTCACTTTTATTCATTCACTCAAGTCGCTCATTTCCGTTTGATCTCTTCAAGCTAATTTTAATTTGTCGTTAGTTTCAGTAAAGATTATTGTTTTAGTTTCCTTAGCATCACTTAGCTTCATGCTAACATTTTATAGTTATTCTCACTTTTTGTTTGATGCAGAAACTAGTTTCTTGTTAATTGTTCTGCTGTCAATCATAACTCTTCCAGCTGGAGGCCACGTTGGGCGTGTCCATCTGTCAGGTGGGCGTTGACGACTGTCCCCACGCCGACTGTCAGTCCGGCTGCAGCAGCGAGGTTTCATTCAGCCAGACCCCGGCGGCTCTCAGCTCCGGGAACACGTCTCTGGTGTCGCTGTCGGCCTCGACCGCGGCTCGGTGCGGCTGCCGGGGCCGAGAGGACGTCCACCTGCCCTGCTCCTCTTACCCCACAAACCCCTGCTCCAACGGGGGCACCTGCCAGGACGGAGCGCTGGGGTACAGGTGGGTCCAGATTCTGTCTCCTGTCCAGGACAGGATCCGTTTGATTGATCTGCTCGACAGTTTAATGAATTGAATGAATTGATTCAACAGAGTGTTTGTCTCAGTTTATTTTAATGTTTCATGTCTGGACACAGTTAAACTGTGGAACTCTAAAGTGATTCAGTGAGAACAGAAAGATTTAATTAAAAACTGTTTCTGGTCAAACAACAGAACAAGATGTTTCAGTGAAAATGATTCAAATCCTTGTTAAGGAATGAAATCCCTTCTGTTCCTCAGATGTCAGTGTCCTCCCATGTACGACGGCCCCGAGTGCCAGCAAACCAAACGCAGCTTCGGCGGTCAAGGCTACGCCTGGTTCCCTCCCATCATGCCTTGCTTCCAGAGCCACATCTCCCTGGAGTTCCTGGCCGAGTCGGCCAACGGGCTGCTCCTCTACAACGGGCCTGTTGGCCCCGCCAGCTCTGAGGAGCAGGAGGACTTCATCGCCATCGGTGAGTTTACTGCTGAAGTGCCAGTGAGCAAGGTCCTCGGTGCTCCAGCTTTTAAAAGTCTTAAAAATCAAAACCTTTGGGATTTTAAGAAAACTGAAGAATGTTTACTTGTTGTGAGCAAAAGAAAATCTCCCGTTTGGTTTAATGAAGGAACAAAAGTATAAAACTGTAAAATAATAACTGAGATTATTTCACAGTCAGAAACTTGAGATGTGGACGTTTGAAACCCGGCGTCCTTTAGCTTCAAGTTTGGACTTTTTCTAACTTCTAAGCTGCAGCGAACACGCTAATCTCACAGCGGCGGTTGGAACACGCCGCCGCTCGTCCTTTTCAACAAAGACGGAATCAATCTGTTGCTGTTCCTCAGGAGACGATCGGCTTGGTGAAGTTTAATGTCAGCTCCCGCTGGTCCAGATGTGGCCTTAGCCTGCAGATCTCCTTTCAAACACTTCTTGCATAATTTTATGGCATTAACGTTACGTAATGATTGAAGCCGAGCTGCCGCTGCGCCGTGGGTTCAGGCGGCATTGATCACTCTGAAGCGTTGCATGTTCGATACCCTGGCTGCGAGGTTAATCAGGTCAAACACACATCTGATCACGGAGTGGATGATATCGAAAGACAGAATCGACTGAGTGGATTCTGCAGCTCACACAGAGACACAGGGAGCTGATGTCAGGGTCGGAGGTTTGGTCACGTGACATCGGCTAAATCAAGTATCGCACACGCATGAACTCTTCAGAAACATGAAGAGTAGAGCTCATGCCTCAAACATATTTCACACTCTCAGTTAAATAAAAAGTTAAATACCTCAGTGTTAAAAACAGAGATCCTCAACAAACTGCGATGAGCGTCTCGTCCTTCATTTCATCTGTTCTCTGGTTTTTGTTGAAGAATAAACAAACGAACACGTTTTCACTTTACTCTCAGTTTTCTTTGGATGTGGTTGAATCTAAAATCTAAAGTATTCAAAGCTTTTGTTTTCTCCACCAAGGAGGTCAAGTTCTCAGTCAGTCTGTCAGTCTGTCAGTCTGTCAGTCTGTCAGTCTGTCAGTCTGTCAGTCTGTCAGTCTGTCAGTCTGCAGCATGGAGGCTGAATCAGGAAAGAACTCGTTAGACTTGAATCCGGATCAGGGGGCTGGTCCAGGAATCTCTTTCTTTAACGAGCTCCGACTCGTTTCTCACTGGACTTGATTCCCAAAGACAGAGAATTAAAGATTAAATCAAGAGGATGAAGCTAATTTTTGTTTTGTCATGAGAACAGTGGGTCGGTCTCGTGCTGTTTTAATGTGAAGAGAGAAAACAGGAAACTGAGAATCTCGTGTTTCGCTGCAGAGCTGACGAACGGGGTTCCAGCTCTGAGCGTCAACCACGGATCAGGAACACTGACGCTGCAGCTTCCTCCCAGTTCCACCGTCACCGACCGCCGCTGGCATCGCCTGGACGTCATCAGCGACGGGAAGGTAGGAAGGACGGAGGCGGGGCTGGTTGGATTGATGAATGGACGAAGGATGATGCGCTAACTTTGTCTTGTGGTTGTTGATTGTTTTAGAAAAGAGAAGTTTTATTTGTTTCACAGTTAAATTATCATTTTGAAACTTTTTGAATTCTTTTCATGATAAAAACTAAATATTCTCACAAATCCAGTGTTTTATTTTATGAGCTAAACAAAGTGTAAAGAGAAAATAACTAAATGTAGAGAACCAGGAAACTTCTGATGAATATCTGAGGTCGTCCTCATTCTGAGACCGTACTGACTGTGTGTGTGTGTGTGTGTGTGTGTGTGTGTGTGTGTTCAGGCCGTCCAGCTGATTCTGGACCAGTGTGGGGGGGCTGCGGTGAACGAGGTGGAGGGTGTGGGGGGTGACACTCAGGAGGTGGACGAGTCAGGCTGCAGAGCTGCAGGAGAGACGCCCAGGAACCAGAGGTGAGTTCAAACCTGGAGACACCAGAGACCAACGTGTCACTGTGCACGCTCACTGTGCACGCTCACTGTGCACGCTCACTGTGCACGCTCACTGTGCACGCTCACGGTGCACGCTCACTGTGCATAGTAACCATTCACGTTTAAAATTTATATATATTGTTTCCCCCCCCCCCCCGTGTTCTCCAGGTATCTGAATGTGTTCCAGCCTCTTCAGTTGGGGGGGGTGAAGGAGACATCTCCTCACAGACGTTACAGCAGTTTCACCGGCTGCATCCGCAACCTGGTGGTGGACAGTCAGGTAACATCAGTGTGTGTGTGTGTGTATGTGTGTGTGTGTGTGTGTGTGTGTGTGTGTGTGTGTGTTTTATGTTTTATGAATTATTCTCTGGGACTCACTTCACATCCTTCCATCAGGTTTTGTGTTAATCAAGTTAAAAACTCCTCGTGGGAGGAAATAAAGAACCGACCGTCTGCTGCTCAGTGAAAATCACAGCAACATCGTAGAGCGCCACCTTAGCGCTGCTGTCGTTCGTCCTGTGCAGCTGCTGACGTGTTC